TCCAGTCTCTGGTCACCATTGTTCTACTGTCTTTCTCTAAGAAATAAGCTTTGTAATAAGACCATGTGGTATTTGTCACTCTGTGTTTGGTGTGTTATACTTGGGATGATGTTCTCTAGGTTCACACCTTGTCTTAGACCTGATTTGCATAACTGTAAGAGATTAAATTGGTTGTGTTTCAGTCACTAGTGTGTGTAATATCTGGTTAGTTTGTTATAGTAGTACCAAGAAGCAGGAAAAAAAGCCCTGAGAAGGTCTTGAGTCTTCAGTGTCTGACTGGACTTTCATGCTGGCAGAGGAAAAAGCTGAGATGGAGTGTAAGCCGCTGGCCTGCATGTTAAATGTGTGCTGCTGCAGGATACTGCTATCTTTCTTTCCCCAGTAGGACAAAAGAACTTCTTGGCTCAAAGTATCCAGGACAGTCTCTGGCCACCTGTTGGCTGACAGCTAAGCTAGCCAAGTAGTGGTTGTAGTGCCACATGAGACAAAGACTTCACAAAATTAGTTTATAAATTGACTAAACATACAGCAACAAAACAAACTCCAGAAGCCTTGCTTTTGGCTTTGCCACAGTGTTCAGTCTTAAGGGAAAGAAAACATAAAATGTAAAGATATTGTACAATTCACATCTAGGAAGGAATAAAGCAGTAAAGAGAAGTCCAGCTATTGGGTGTTTAATTATGCTGTTTTTTTTGTTGTTGTTTCTTTATTTACTTTGACATATGGATACATATTATGTTGCCCAAGCTGATTTAAAGCTTGTGAGTTCAAGTATCCTCCTGCTCTGGCCTCTAGAGCAGCTGGGACTACAGATGTATTGCTATGCACAGCCTTAATCATCTATATTCAAAGAACAAAAGGAAATCATACCTAAAGAAGTAAAAAAAAATTGTGAGAATGAGAACTCACTAAATAGAACACACACACACACACACACACACACACACACACACACACACACAGAGGAGACAGAGATGGGGTGACAGAGAGTTAGGTTAAAAAATCAAATCAAATTTGGGAGGTTAAAAAGTACAAGAACTCAAAATTTCACCAGACAGACACACCCCACCTCAGGTTTAGCTGGAAGGAAAAAAGTCAGCAAACATGAATATAGGTCAACGCAGATTACGCTGTCTGGAAAACAGAAGATAATAATGATGACAATAAATACAACACTGTTGAGTGGCTCAGTTCTTGATGATGAAAACGTGACAGAAACCATTCCCACTGTGGAAGACCAAGAAGCACTGTGTGAAGTAGCAACTAGAGGCCAGGCTATGATCTTCAAATATCTGCCCTAGTGACCCACTTCCACCAGTTATTTCCCACCTCCCAAAGTCTCCACAGCTTCTCAAAATAGTATCACCAGCTAGTGAACAAGCATTCAAAGCATGAGCCTGTTGGAGCTGTTTCATATTCAAACTGCAGCATTACACTCCCGGCCCTCAAAACTCATGTCCATATCAAAATGCAAAATACATTGAAGTCCAACTTCAAGAGTTCCAATATTGTTCAAAAGTTGAACTCCATAGTCTATTGAGACTCTACAGTCTGTTAGCTGTGAGCATACTAAGTAAAAAAAATAATAATAATAAAGTTACTTTAAACACATAGTGGCACAGAGTAGCCATTTCCATTCCTAACGGGAAAAATGGGTGAATGAAGTGAGAGATAGGACAAAAGCTAGACTGAAAGCTAGGGGGCCAAATGTTAAATCCTTTGACTCCATGGCCAATATCTGGGCACAGGGTTTCAAGATTTGAGCTCCAATGGGTTTGGGTAGGACCACTTTTCCACTCTGGTCTCCGTCTTGGCATTTAGCTTTCTTTAGTAGATATTCTACATTCCTATTGTCTGTGACATCCTTGAGTCTCTCTTATAGCTTAGGCTTCAAACTCAAAGCTTCACACATTACTCTCCATGGATTCTGGGAAGGGAATCTGACTGCTACATATTGCCTGTCCTCCTAGGCTTTTCTCTGGAATCCTGTTGACCCTAGAACTCTATGCCTGCAGACAGCATCATGTGGATGATATCAAGTACTTCCACTAGTTCAAGCGTTTGCCAGATCCCATTTGCCAGTGACCACAATGGTGTCGTAGTTTTTGTCAGCTTGACACAAACCTAGACATACCCAGGAAGAGGGAACCTCAGTCGAAGAATTGCTTTCACCAGATTGGCATGTGGGCATGTCTGTGGGGGCATTTTCTTGATAGCTAATCGATAAAGGACAGTCCAGACCACTGTGAGCAGTGCCATCCCTAGTCACATAAGAAAGGTAGCTGAACCTTGGTCTGAAGTAAGCCAATAGGCAGCTTTCCCCCATGGTCTCTACTTCCCTTTCTAACTTGACATTGTTCCACCATAAATACTTGAGAACCCCTGAACACTGTTTCAGTCTTTTTGTTGTTACCACTGTAACAAGGTCCTTGAGGCTGAGAAGAGATGGCTCTATCTGTTGAACATTTCATTGAAGGCCCACAGCGTTATAACAGCTTGATTAATGGTAGCATATGTGGGAGAAGGAGAGCACCCAGTCACATGTTTGATAAATATATAATAATGAATGATAAGTGCAACAGTTACAGCTGAAAAGCTCTACAATGGCTGGGGAGATGGCTCAGTAGGGAAGAATTTTGCTGCACAAGCAGGAGGATCTGAGTTCAAATCTCCAGCACTCATATAAAAAGCTGGGTGTAGCTTTTTGTACTTTTAACCCCAGCACTCTGGAGGGCAGAGACAAAATTGTTGGAGTTTGCTAGCCACCAGTCTAGATCCAGACTCGGTTAGAGATACTGCATCAAAGAAATAAGGTGGTGAATGGTAGAGCAGGACATCTGATCTAATCTGGTCTCTGTATACACGCTGGGGCACACATCACACTATACACACACCCCAAACAAAACTAATTACTTAAAAGTCAACAACACTGCAAATACATGTGGAGAATGCAAGGTACCTAAAAAAAATTTAGAGAATGCTATTGAAACATTCATAATTTTTACTTTCAAATTGCTTCAAATCTTCTGTAACCATAGCCATAACCAAATGTGATACTGGCTTAAGGGTAGAGTTGAAAACCAGATCTCCATTTGTGAGGTTCAGTAAGTGCACTAAGACAATAAGGAAAGAGGTCTTTCAACAGTTGATGTTGGGCCAGTTGGATAATCACACATGCGTTGTACACTAATTAACAAAGACTAGATCAGAGACCTTGGTGTTAGAAGTTAGACTAGGCACAGGTCTTTATGACCTTCAGTGGGTGAATGTTGCTTCTGTGTGACACACAAAGCACAAGCAGCTGGAGCTCAAGGAAGATCAGGTGGATTCTGTCAGAGTTAACTGTTGTTCCACATTGTCAAGAAAGTGAAGGAGCTGAGGGATAGCTCAGTGCTTAAGAATGTGCTTAGCTTCCATCTGTTTCTGGAAGAGAGGGTTCAAGCTTCTCTGGGGTTGTGGATTGTAGGCTGGGTATCTTTTGCTTTATGTCTGATATCCACTTATGAGTGTGTACATACTATATTTGTCTTTCAGATTTTGGATTACCTCACTCAGGATGGTTTTTTTTTTTTTTTTCTAGTTCTGTCCATTTGCCTGCAAATTTTAGGATGCCATTGTTTCTTACCATTGAATAGTACTCCATTGTGTAAATACACCACATTTTCTTTACCCATTCTTCAGTTGAGGGGCATCTAGGTTGTTTCCAAGATCTGACTATTACGAATGATGTTGCTATGAATATAGCTGAGCACATGTCCTTGTGGTTGAATGTGTCTTTTTTGGGTATATGCCCCTAAGTGGAATTGCAGGGTCTTGAGGTAGGTTGATCCCTACTTTTCTGAGAAATCACCGTTCTGATTTCCACAGCAGTTGTACAAGTTTGCATTCCCACCAGCAGTGGAGGAGTGTTCCCCTTTCTCCACATCCTCTCCAGCATAAGCTGTCATTGGTGTTTTTGATCTTAGCCATTCTGATCAGTGTAAGATGGAATCTCAGAGCGGTTTTGATTTGCATTTCACTGGTGACTAAGGATGTTGAGTGTTTCCTTAAGTGCCTTTCCATCATTTGAGATTGTTGTGTTGAGAATTCTCTGTTTAGATTTGTACCCCATTTTCTAATTGGACGATTTGGTAGTTTGATGTCTAGTTTCTTGAATTCTTTGTATATTTTGGAGATCAGCCCTCTGTCAGATGTGGGGTTGGTGAAAATCTTTTCTCATTCTGTAGGGAGCCATTTTGTCTTGTTGACCGTGTTCTTTGCTTTACAGAAGCTTCTCAGTTTCAGAAGGTCCCATTTATTAATTGCTGCTCTCAGTGTCTGTGCTTCTGATGTTCTATTTAGGAAGTGGTCTCTTGCATCTATGTGTTCAACTGTATTTCCCACTTTCTCTTCTATGAGTTTCAGTGTGGATTGATTTATATTGAGGTCTTTGATCCATTTTGACTTGAGTTTTGTGCATGGTGATAGATATGGATCTATTTGCGTTCTTCTACATGTGGACAGCCAGTTATAACAGCACCATTTGTTGAATATATTTTCTTTTTTCCATTTTATATTTTTATCTTCTTTGTCAAAAACTAGGTGTTCATAAGTGTGTGGGTTGATGAGTGAGAAATTTTTATGTCACCCTGGGTGTGAAGGTATATAAAATGGGTCCCCAAATCATTTACTGATAATAAATCATTAAGAAATTTGCTTTAAAACCATTATTTGGTATATATATAATTTTACCATTTATTAATGATGAAAGCAAATTTTCATACTAATGAGGCCGTCAAAAGCTGAATTTCTCCTTTGTTTTGGAGACATGTTGAAAACATTCCTCAGGGGGAATTCTGGGACTAAAGTGCTCTTAACCACTGATCCATCTTTCCAGCCCCCAAAATATGTTTTTTAAAAATCTAGATTGGCCATCCGATCATCCCCAGAAAAGTATTGCACTTATTTCTCTGACATCTCTTACCACTTTTATACTGGTGATACTCTTGTTCTTTATGCAGAATGAGGGTGCCTGTGGTACTTCTGCTGGAACTCGTCCTTCTCAGCTGCAGAATTGGAAGCAGAAAGTTAGTCGGATGAAGAAAGCAGAATTCATACGCACAGCAGAAAAATTAAAGAATCAGTGAGTATAAGAGTATTGTCTTCAAATAAGATCACTAGGTATTTTATAGTGAACAATATAAAATCAATATAATATTGTTAGGAAACTTATAATCACTAGCCTGACAAACATAACAAGAGGAAGGAGGGATGTATGAAATACACAAATAGTCAATTTAGTATAAATTAATTATAAGTGAAATTGTCTCGTTTTTGAATGAGGATTAGAGAGAATATGTATCTAAGTTCTCATAGGTTATGAAGTTGGTAAATGACTGATGTAGGCCCAGTCCCTTCTCTTTAACTCCTGCCTTCGCACCATTTTCCCCTCCTTACAACCTGTGACTTTTTAACTCTCTTTTTCATCCCACTGAGTTCATGTAGTGCTGCCTCTATATGCATGGGTATAGGATCATACATTGAAGCATGGGTAACTTTTCAGGACCTACATCCTGGGAGAGAACTTCATCTCCCTCCTCCAGAAGCCACTAGTTGACAATGGCTTTTCAGCTAGAGGTGGGACATTGACAAACTGGGATTATGACTGGCTTGATCTTAGACAGGTATTGTATAAGCAGTTAGAGCTGCTGGGAGTTCATGTGTGCAATGTCCATGTCATGCCCAGCAAACAGTGTTTCACAGCAGATGTCTTCTATGTC